TATGGGAGTGATATCAATTTGAACAAATATCGTAAACTACGAAACTTAGTAACAAGCAAAATTCGGAAAGCAAAATCAAATTACTTTGATAATGTTGAAAACAAATACAAAAATAACTCCAAAAAAGTATGGGAAGAACTAGGCAGAACTATAGGGAAGGATTCAAATAGAAATAGTGTCCACCCTGACCTAAATTGTGAAAGCTTTAATAATTTTTTCTCAAATATTGGAAAGGAAATTTCTAAATCTTTTGAAAGTACTACTCCTGAATGGAAACATCCTTTATGTATCCACAAATTAAATTTTAACATGGTAACATTTGAAAATATTGAAAATGCCCTTTCAGGTCTGTCCAAAAGCAGTAATTTGGATATTCTGAATTTTGATTCAACATTGCTTAGGGTTGCCTCTCAATATATTGCAAAATTTCTTTCCTCTATAATAAATTTGTCTATTAGGCTGGGTATTGTTCCTGAGGATTGGAAACTCGCAAAAACAACACCTATCTATAAAGGTAGTGGATGTAAGCAGACGATGACTAACTATAGACCCATCTCCGTGGTTTGCCATATTTAAAAAATTTTTGAAAGAGAAATTCAAAATCAATTAGTTAGTTATCTAAAACGAAAATGATCTCATAAGTGTAGATCAATGTGCCTTCAGAAAATACCACTCCACCATCACTTGCCTTCATTGAGTTATAGATGAATGGATGAAAACTTTGAATGACCATAAAATGATTGGAGCCTGTTTTCTCGACATATCTAAATGCTTTGACTCCATTGATCATACTCTTCTCCTAACTAAATTAGAAAATTATGGCATTAAAGACACTGAAATCAAATGGTTTAAAAGTTATCTTTCACAGCGCAAACAAGTAGTCAAATGTCATAATAAATTATCTGAAAAAGCAAATGTTAAAATTGGCATCCCACAAGGTAGTGTGTTAGGACCGATCTTATTTTCATTATTTATTAATGACCTTCCACAATATGTATCTCCAGGATCATGTAGCATATATGCGGATGATGTTGTCATCTACTCTACTGACAAATCGGTAGAAAATATCAATATAAAATTACAATCAATAATGAATAATGTCGCAAATTGGTATAAATTTAATAAATTAATTGTAAATTCTACCAAAACCAAACTTATGTTAATTAAAAATAGAAATGTTCGCCCTCTTTCCTCTTTGAATATTCATGTTGGTAATGAAACCATTGATGAGGTAAAATGAATCTCTTCTAAATATTCTTTATAGAAGTGCAATACAACCCTGTATGGACTATGCAATCTCAGTGTGGGGAACTACGTCTAACAAAAACAAAAACACTCTATTAAGGCTACAAAAACGAGCTGCTAGAATAGTTTAAAATAATTTTGATTTTATAAATTTTCGTGGAGTTTGATCTTAGTAAGCAAAATAATTGATGATACCTTTTGATGAACGTATTACGTCCTTGCATGTTTAATGTACAAATGTATAAATGGTGTTGCGCCTTCCCGCCTATGTAATGATATAGAAATGGTTGTTGACCGACATGGATATTCTACGAGATACGCTCACTCGCTTAATGTTACCCCCCCCCCCATTCCAAATTGCTCTGTAATGAATGGCTCTTTACAAATCTCTGGAGCAAAAGTTTGGAACAAAATCCCAATCAGAATTCAAAAATGTTAATCTCTTAATTTATTCAAAATTACTTATAAGAAACACTTTTTCTGATTTCACAATTCATTTCCTTTTATATTTTCTTGGTCTATACTTAAATAGATAAAAATTGTAGAAACCCTCCCCCGCCGGACACCATCCCGGTATTTCTGAGTCAAGGTTTCGGGGCTGTCACAACTTTTATCTTAACTACAAACCTAACTAAACAATGGTAAAAACTATCCCTCGCCGGACACCATCCCGGTACTTCTGAGTCCAAGTTTCGGGACCGGGAATAAATGTTAAGTAATTGTATAGTACTTGTCCTACCTGGTAATCCCGGCCCCGAAACCTTGACTCAGAAATACCGGGTTGGTGTCCGGCGGGGGATAGTTTTTACCATATTGTAGTTAAGTTGTAGTTAAGCATAACCTTGAGCTGTAATTCTGTCTCTTATACTAACCTTGAGCTGTAATTCCTGGCCCCGAAACCTTGACTCAGAAGTACCGGGTTGGTGTCCGGCGGGGGATAGTTTTCCACCAAAGTTTTAACTGTTGTTTATTTTGTTGTACTGTGCTGGTTACTTTTGTTGTTGTTATTGGAATATGTGTTTGCAGGACCATATTGTAAAACAGCGGTAAGATCTCGCCTGTATATGTTATCCTGCCTAAAGATGTTTTAAATAAAAAAAAAATTAAATAAATAAGAATAAACTAAAGTTCTAATGAACGCAGCATAGCACTGTCGTCGTGCGGTGGGACCTTATCAACAATATCCAAGGGGCGGGGCTTACCGAAAAGCTCCATTTATGCCGAGTTGCTGAGTTCTACTACTCACCATAGTAATGTGCTTTATTTGTTCGATAGTTAAAACCCAAAAGATCAAACTGGGGCAATGATATATTCTTATCCATTGTAATAGCGTCCGTCTCAATCCAGTTGTAGTCTATATCTCTATCGCTATAAGCATCTGAAAAAAAATGAAAAATATTAAATATATTATTTGTTTAAATCCTGAAATTAATTAATCTTAAAGTTAAATTGACACGAAAGTCGAAAAGGGGAGGAAAAAAGGCAGTTACTTGAAATACGATAAGTTGATCAGAAACTTTGACAGGAGAAGAGTTACATTACAATGTAACGAATGTTAGATAGACTTAGTTGATAATATATTTTTTCGATACTTGGAAAAGAAAAGGATTTACACTACGAAGGACTGTCGCTACAGCAATCGCTACATACCATAGCTCACCCGACGCAATCGAGAAAGCACCCGGATTCGTTTGCAACAAAATCGGCAAAGTTGAACCAGGTTCAACCTGTCCGACCTGTCGGCATCGAATCGTAACTATTGACCAATCATCAGCCGATGTTAGACATGCAATTTGGCTAACGCGACGATTAAGAAGATGGCCAATTTTGATGAACATTTACGCTCTACAGTTAAGCTCGGTTTCCATATTATCGCTACACAATTGCTACAGCGTTTCCACTGCAAGGTCTTTCACTGTTTCCACTACAGCTCCTGCACTGCGTAGCTGTTACCGACGCAATCGGGAATGGTCCCCGATTTATCTGACCAATCAGCGTCGCCAAAAGAGTCGGCAATAATGTATAGCGATTTTTATGGAAACCAGGCTTCGGAGTAGCCTATATCATTGCCTGCATATCAACAGCAGATTTTAAAAATATTAGAGTAGACCCTAAAGTCAAACCTGTTCCATTGGTCACGCTGATTGGTCAGATGAATCATTGAGCGTTCCCGATTGGTACGTACAGCTTGGTTTCCATACAATCGCTACACGCTATCGCCGATAGGTTTCGGTGAAGCTTGGTCGGTAGAGTCACAGAGCCTACGCAGTACAATGAATGCACTGAAAACACTGTAGTGACAGTGTAGCGGCTGTGTGAAATCGAAACGTATAGCACAAAGGTAGGTTTCCATACAATCGCTCAAATTTTCGGCGAAAGTTTCCTACAGTAAGTGTAACTGCACGACAATTGTTGTCGGGAAGGTTGAACCTGGTTCAAATTTGCCAATTGCATTGCAGAAGAATCAGGGTGCATTGCTAGCTGCGATGACGCAATCGGGAAGGCACCCCGATTTGTCTGCAACGCAATCGGCAAAGTTGAGTCAGATTCAACCTTCCCGACAACTGTCGGCGGCTGCCACCGACAGGGTGAGCGATAGTATGGAAATCGAGCTTAAAAAGACAATGTAAGACAGTTAACATTTTTTCTACGATTATAATTATATCCAGTAACTTTCAATCGAAGTTCGGCATTATCGCATGAGGAATCTAGTGGAGTAAAGAGAAGCTGACGTTTAGTGAAATGGGAAAATGCTTGGTTAGGCCCGAGTTCCATTGAATCGCTACACAGTCGCTACAGCGTATTCACTGTAATCCTTGCACTGCGTAGCTGTCCCCGACTCAATCGGGAACGCTACCCGATTCAACTGACCAATCAGCGTCGCCAAAGGAGTCGGCGATAGCGTATAGATTTTTATGGAAACCATGCTTCAGTTATTACACTCGCCGATTTTTTGGTGACAAATCGGAGAGGGGGGGGGGAGGCCTCCATGTTCTATTGGGGACAGCAACATATCCTATGTAGCGATTGCTATAGCAAGATTGTAATAGTTTTCATTATTATTATTATTATTATTATTATTATTATTATTATTATTATTATTATTATTATTATTTCATGGAAAACATGTGACTTAACAACTCTGTACTGTATTATTATTATATTGTAATTAAGACACTCACAGCTTTCCATCCAGAGCATACAATGTTGAATGTCCATCGGGAAGTATTTAAGATCCATTTGGCAGCTTGGCGTTATTGTCAACCTGTAGATATATACATATTCAAAGTACGGTTATAATACAAAAACAAAGAACAGAAACGTAATCTAAATATTATTCTAGGGGACGACCAAAGCGACAATTCAATAAAAATTGGATGGGAATCGATAATATTGAAGTCGAAGAAATAAAACTGTTCAGGATATGAAGAGAATTTTGTTGTGATGTCACGCATTCTAACAACGACGGGAAAAACGTAGAAAAATAACAACCAATTCTGAAGTTTGAACAAAAGTAAAACTGAACACATTCACAGCATACACATCAAATTACTATTTAGATGTATCTCATAAGTCACGTGTTCTGTTAGTAACACTAGAATCCTATAAAGATTAGAAAAACAAAATGTTTCATGATTTATATTAGAGTATTTGTATGTGTTTTCCTTAAGATTGTTACACTGTTGCTACAGTGATTTTAGTGCAATCGTTGTACTGCTCCTGGTACTGCGCACGGTAGCAGTTCCCGACGCAATCGGCCGTCCAATCAGCATCACTGAAAGCTGTCGCGATAGCATGTAGCGATTGTATGGAAAGCAAGCTTAACACATAATAGAACTTTCATAATTACTTATCCCTAAAACGATAAGCATACAATTGGTATTAATGTTGAGTCAAGAAATACAATTTTTGGAATCAATTACTAATGCGAAAAAAGGTTTTGAAATATATAACAAAATGAGGCATGACCATTAACGGCCATTAAACTTAAAACCGTGAGTTTCCTGACAGACTGTCTAGGCCTAATCGATCTTATTTTAGACGCCAGATTAAAAATAACGAAATACTTTTCCAAACTGTTCGTAATTTATGTCCCATTTCATAACCTGTCTGACATGCTTCGTAGGAAATTACAGAACATACACAAATACGTCTTAAATTATAATAATTATATTTGTCAAATTGAGCGAACAGTAATTAAAACAAGTAATTATAGTCGACGTAGGGTACGGTATTCGTTCTCGGTTAGGTAATGATATGACACCATCTGAACGAATGTTTCGAAATTGTCCGCGTTATTATATTAGTGGAAGTGTTTGTCAAAACTGCCGTAACGCGTAAATTAGTTTCACAGCGTTAGATATTCGGCGTGCAGCAAAGCCTGTTAAACCGTGTATGTTACATTTTAAAGCAAATTAACAACAAGACCATGAACTTCAAATACACTATCTTTAATTAACTATAGGTGATTTTGATGTGTCTCGTCTGTGCTAATGCCTCAGGAATGAGCAGATTGAATAATAAAATCTTTAATGTGATTATAAATCCTTGATGTTGTATTGGAAAAGCTGAAATTAAGAATTCTAATCAACACTGATGACGATCACAAATATATTATTTCAAATATCCCAAAAATATGATAGGTCTATATATTAGTAACATTTTATTATTTTGCTTTCCAAAAGATAAACTATTTCAAATAGACTGTGCTCTGCATCCAACAATATGCAGTATTTCTTTGATTTTCAATAAAATATGTTTTATTTAAGCTTATGTAAATGGGGTTGTTGTTTTGTGTTTTTATTTAGCCGGTGTGATGTGCTAAGGACCATTAAGCGTTCGTTGAGTGGTTGACTTACAGGCCAGTCGTTCCCTCTTCTATGATGGTGGGGTCATGTTGGGGTCATGTTGGTGACATAACAGACTCTTAGGAGTTTTATCAGTTTATTTGTATTATTTTAGAATGCAGATCAAATATATATGTATAATCCTTTCGTTAGATTTTTTTTGTCCTAAATTTGTTATATTATACCATTACGTTTTATTCATTCGTTAGTTTAACCTAAATAATTGACAGTAGGTCTACCTCTTAATTGGTACCATCGATAGGCCTAAATGTACAGTATGCCAATGTTATTATTATAAACTTTACGTCAATTATCAAAAATAAAAATATTAAAACAGTTCTGCTTAATATCCACAAACAAAACATAGATAAACGTACTTCACAATTTACGAGCACTATGGGCCTATAAATCAAAAATCAGATGAAAAATGAAACGTACAAAAATGGATGCTATTATCAGCCTATCAGTTACCCACGTTTTTGTTTGATTTATTTGATTATCAGTTATTTTGCAGACTCATTTTTGTTACAAATTATTTTTTCTAGATCTAGCAAAGTGATACAGTACACAAGAGAAAGTAACCGAATACGTAGAGATCTACGAAAAGATAATTACGGGAGTTATATTTTTGACGAATGAGGCTCCAGGTCAATCTAATTATTCTTTGAAAGTGGAGACGTGTTTCATTTATTTAAAAAAATCTAAAAAAGAAATAGAAATTACTGTCGATGTTATCGTATATTTCCCGCTGAAATTGGCCAAGAAATCTAGGACTCTTTTGAGAATGATGTTCCAAGAATGTAGTGCATATTTCTATGTCTCGTGTTTGGAGCCTAGCTGTTACGCGTTTTACTCAAGTAATATGTAAATGAAAAACACATGTTGATAAACAGTATTTACCTATATCCCAATCTAATAGAAAAACCCAATTCCATCATAAATCAGTCACACATAACGATGACAAATGCTAAATTCTGTTTGATTTTGCAATATAAGAAAACACATGTTAGAATAAATTAAACTGATATCGCGAATAAGTCCTTCTCTATTTGTTATGACCTTTCAGTCAAATGTTCACTTTTGTAATTTTTTTTTTTGTATTTGAGTTTTGATTTATCATTTTTCCCTCTTCGATTTTTTTTTTTATAATTGGTCAATATGTATTCATTTTGTTATCCAAACGCAAATAGGACTACATATATTTTCTTCGATTATTAACTACACTTTTTGTATCTGAAACTTTAAATTATAATAGTTGTTGGATATAATTGCTTCATAAATCATAGTAAAACATATAATTATTTCGAAATATTCATCTTCATAGCTACATATTTTACAAATGTATTTATCCTCAATTACTTTCTTCCACTTAACCCTTCAATTTATAACTCAATCATGCCAAAAATACAACTTTGCTAACAATCTTATATTTCAAGTGGTTAATATACGGTACCTGGCGTAATTTAGGCTAATAACAAAAAATAACTCTGTGTATATAATAAAAGTAGGTCTACCATTACTGTATATACATTTGACATAGGATCTAGTCAGACGATTTTACAGTGCTGTTTTAGTGCTGCCCATATAACAGATAATACCAACCAAAGTTTTTATTCGCTTATGTTACCCTAGCCATTCGCTCAATTATTGAGTATCATTAACGAAAGCCTACTAACTACAAGATGCAATCTCTAGCGCCCCCTGGTGAATATTTCTATCTATTCGTGCATGTAATATGGCACAATTTCATTCTGACATTTAAATGTTATACCCATCAATCAACTCTGGGGTGGAGAGAGAAACATAAAAAATAAAATTAACGTGACTATCATCATCAGAATCCTTATTAAGTCCAATAAATAATAATAATATTAGTTTATAGGCCTATATATATATATATATGTATATATATATACATGTATATATATATTATATATAGGTGTGTGTTTGTATATACATATGTATATATATATATATATATATATATATTGTATATATATTTGTCCCCGTCTAGAGCCCAAGTTGACGGTGCTATGAGTCGCCCGAACACCGACAAATATTGAAAGGCTTATTTGGTCAATTTTGGTTTCACAATTTGTAAAAACTGTTTTATCCACCCCAATATTGTTTTTCCCCCACGACATGGAGAGGGAAAAACCTCTGTCCGACGGGGCACTATTTCCCGGCTTCCTGTCCTCCCACCCCTTGTTTTCTGTTACGATTGCTTCACACAATCGTCTGATTTTTCTGTTATGCATAATCACGTGGGTGTTTGCTTATGATTAGTGACAACTTTCTAGGTCAGCACTGATGTAATGACGAAGGTCATGAAGCTAAGCAAAATTAATGAAACCTCTTCGATTAAACTGTACCTGTTCCATCGCGTCTGGAACGCGGCACGCTTAATATCAAGGGTCTAACTTTCCCTTTCATTGACTGGCTAAGATATCAGCATTTCTAAAAGCAATACTGTAATTATAATTCTAAGTACTTCAATGCGCTTGCTATCCCAATTACACAACTTTGTTTCTATATTTGAATAGCACTAAAAGATTGGCAGATGGGCAGCCTATTTGAGCAAGCTAGCCTCTTCTGTCTTCCTGGCTACTATTTTTTTACAAAAAAAAAAACCCATCCCCTGATAAAACGATATCATGACAATGAAGATGATGAGGATGAGGATGATGATGTTGCTGATGATGATGATGATGATGATATTGATGATGATTTTAATGATTATAATTGTGATGCGGGTGAAGGTGAATTTTAGCATCTTATTATAAATAGTATTAGTAAATAGTCTATGTGATTATGAAGACGATGTTTGTGTTGATGATTATAATGGTGAAAATGACGGCATTAATGACAATAGCCATACTACAATGGTCATACTGAGCCAATTATATGATATGATACGATTTGTTATAAGCTGCAGGCGTTTGGTGTTCTGGTTTGACGAGACACGTTATATCACAGACGCGTGTATGCACCTAAATACTCTTTTAACTACTTTCATTGTCACAAAATTGTCCTCACAATTAATGATGTGCGAATCTGATAAAGAAAGGCACATTTAGTGAGTGTAGCTTAGAGCATGTGACCCGCGTTGTTTAAGCCTCCGGATGCAATCGAAACACACTAAGGGTTCGAGTGCAAGAATTTATATCCTCGATAAGACACTTTATCAACTTCTCTATAGCCAGAAATATAAGTGAGTACCTGATGTTACTAACTGATTACTAACTACAAAATGGAGCTGTCTAGGTAAACCTTACGATGTTTTCCCATAATTTTATGTGCAAAAGATCGGCGGTCTTATACGAGTCCCGTGAAGCGCATTATTTTTAAGTTGGGCGCATAAAGACCTCGATTATGCTTATTAAATAGGCATAACTTTCACATCACATAAATATCATATTGCATTACAACACTTAACATTATATAAGACGTATGTACCTGAATACTACCGAACCTCATACATGAAATTAACGCTAATTCCCTCACTGATGTGCCCACATCATGTTGAACATTTTTTAAGAATTAAGGCCAACTTAGACAACGTCGGCCGACGCAGCCCGACGCGATTTGTTGTCGCGTCGGGTCTGTGTGAGTTGAACGCAGACGCGATGGTGTGCGTCGGGGGCAGTCGCGTAGTAGAATATTAAACGTGTTTAATATTTCTCACGACGGCTTAAGACTGTCCCCGACGATAAATCGGGTCGGGCTGCGTTGGCCGACGCTGTCTGAGTTGGCCTTTAGAGTACATCGCTTTGTTGAGTTTGACTTAAAAGCACCAAGCTAATAGCAGGGGCAGCGCTAGTGCTAGTGGGTCCAAGAAGGGTCCAGAGGTCCCGACGGGGGTGCCGCACCTCTGGACCCCTCTTGGACCCACTGTCGGGAAATCTCCAGCAATGTCGTCGGGGAAAAATGAAATCTCGACCGCCGAAAGTTCAATTTAGGGCGCCTTACTAAGCTGTCAAATTTAGGGATTAAAAAATGTTTAGTGGGCGAGCAGTGCTATCGTATGTGTGAGGTGTTGTCTATCGCGAGCGTATGGGTTGCAGTGGTAGTGCAAGATCTTCCCCGACAGGGGCTGGTACATTCGACAGGTGGTTAGTAGCCCCCGACAGGCGGGGCCACTTAACCTGTATGATTTTCCATCAAATTATCCTTTTTAAATAAAGAGATAACCAACACATTTTCCCCGTCGGAGTGGGGAGGTGTTAGGCTTCCCCGACGAGGAGGTGGGGTGTGGACCCCTTGTCGGGGAGCTTGAACCCCTCGTCTGGGAATTCCTGGCGAAGCTCCTGGCTAAGAGTACATTTGCTGTACACCGAATCCGATTTTTTTAGATCGGAAAGCCTAAAACGAATCAGTGTAGTAAGAATATGTATGCTGGCGTTCAGCGCTTTAGAAACAAGTTCTGAACTTTGGTTCAGATCCGACGTGAATGCAGCTTTAATGGTCATTCACACTAATCCGAATTTTCCGATCGGAAGGCTTACCGAACTGATCAGAATATCGAATCATTGTGTTAAAATAAGGAGGCTGGCGTTCAGCGCTTTGGATCACGGTCTGAATTTCGGTTCGGATCCGACGTGGACGCAGATTTAGTGTGTCCGTTTATTGTTAAGAAGGGGTTTTTTAGGGTGTTTATTCGAAGAAAAGGCTATGGTATTTTTGGCGTAAAATGAATACGTATGTGCCCCCCTCCCCAATAATTTCATTGTAAAAGTTGAAGTACAACACATAATGACCATGCAAACCGGGTTAGAAAAATGTAATTTTACTGATGTAGAACATTAAGAAGGTTTAGAGAATGATGTTGCTTCCATTAGATTTGTTTACAGTAATTTAGGGGTGGGCGTGGGGCGTTTATTCGAGAAAAAATAAACGCTTCGGGGCGTTTATTCGAATAAATACGGTACAAGAAGATAAATACTTGGATAAAAATACCTTGTACTATATAGTAGATCACCGTTTGGTTTGATTCGTATAAGAGAATTTTCACTCAATACAGTGTGATAGTTTGCTCTCTTTTCATTGATGAAATACGTATCAGGAACCCATAACTTCTTGACCATTTCGTTTGTCAGTGCTAGATCGTCTATATTTGTTCCATCAAAAGATAACCGGGGGTCACTCCACTGCTGACGAAAATACAAATCGATTGTGTATTCCTGAAAGTGAAGATACAAGAGAGTTATTGCTATATAGGATCTTGTTAGTTCTTGTTTGTATTAGGTGTTTCATATTCAATTATAATGTGTGAATTTTAATGTTATTTAAATTATTTATATTGCGTTCATAGAGCCGATACTATTTCATTGTATGTTTACATGTACATTTGACAATAAATTTAATCTGTATCTGTATCTGTGACTTGTACGAGTCGCACCGGCATCTTTTTTTTTTTTATATAGCCACTTCAGTTACCGCGTATAGGCCTATAAGATGTCGAATGAAGGCCACGAATAAAAGCTTGTATTTCGTCAAATTCAGCACTTCAATAAATGAGTAAGTCATTTTTAAGGGCAATTTTAATAGGCCTACACAGAGGGGTTACATTAAGCAAGAGGACCGACGACGGTTAATCTGCATAATTAGCATTTTAAAAGATCGTTTTGGAAACCTTGATTTTAAAGACACAATTCATCCATCTACTTATCTATTATCTTAAATGACCTTTAGCTGCTTGTGTTGATTTATACGAAATTTGAATATTATCGAGCCATTATATACCTATTCTATCTGCTCATATATCTCTACTGTATTTCTGTGATGTGTATGCCTCACGAATCGTACCTATACTTTAAATGCAAAATAGAGAAATTACTCTAAATGAGGTAGGAATACTTAAAACTGGGTTCACATTTGATGCGCTGAGCCTGAGCGTTCCTATTCTTACAACTTATTCCACTTTCTAATCGGTTCGGTAGATACTTTCAGATCTGAAAATTAGGGTTCGTGAATGCAGATTTATGCTTAACTTCAAATTTAACGTTTTCCAAGTGAAATTTTATTTCCTTTACTCATTCTAATTCTCTCGGGTTTCTATTGGAGTATCAGAAAGAGTACACTTCCGCTGGTTAGGTTATAACTCTTTTTCCAGTCGATCTTGTTAGAAGTAAGACGGAAAGTAGGACTCCAAGCCCAGCTCCAAACGATGTTTTAAATTTCCTTGTTTTTGTTTGGGCTTATGTGTTGTAACTATTGATGACATTGAAGTTGAAAGTCATTGATTGAGGAAGGTGGCTTATGCGCGTTAAGATAAAATAACAACGCAAAAAAGAAAACCAATCTCTAGAGTATAGAATGTTAATCGTCGGCGGATTTGTAGGCCTATTCTTTTCATGTTGACTTTCTATTGGCTGCCATCCAGACTGTACCATATGTTTTGCAACCATATTTTAATGGACATATTTTTGCGCTGTTTTCGGCCTAGAATCACTAAAATAAAATGCTGCATAATCAACAGCAGTTAAATTTTAGCACGGACATTCAAGATGCTATGCAGCCAATAGGCCCAGATGCAGAATTAGGGAGATGCCAATAGGTTTACACGGTTTAATTAGGCCTATATTTGATCTGTACGGTTTGGTGCTTAAAATGGTGTACGGTAAGAATGGCCCCGGTAAAAATGGCCCCGGAAAACATGGCCCCGGAAAAAATGGCCCCAATTGACAGGTAGGTAAAAATAGCCCCAATAATAAAATTCTGTATTAAAACTGACTTTCTATTGGCTGCCATCCAGACAGTACCATATTTTTTGCAACCATATTTTAATGGACATATTTTTGTGCTGTTTTCGGCCTAGAATCACTAAAATAAAATGCTGCATAATCAACAGCAATTGAGTTTTAGCACGGACATTCAAGATGCTATGCAGCCACTAGGCCCAGATGCAGAATTAGGGAGATGCCAATAGGTTTACACGGTTTAATTATATTTGATCTGTACGGTTTGGTACTTAAAATGGTGTACTGTAAGAATGGCCCCGGTAAAAATGACCCAGGAAAAAATGGCCCCGGGAAAAAATGGCCCCGGAAAAAATAGCCCCGGTAAAAATGGCCTCAGTAAAATTGGCCCCAAATGACAGGTAGGTAAAAATAGCCCCAATAATAAAATTCTGTATTAAAATTGATTTTTAAAAATCATTATATGCATTTTTTTAACTGAAATAATTTAGTTTTTGAAAGAAATCTAACATCAAATAAATTGCGATTCACATTTTAATTTTTGCAGGAATTAAATATTCAATGATAAAATATTAAAAGATAAAAAAAAGCCATGAATAACACTTTTATTTTTTTTAAATTTAAATGTCAAAAAATAGCAACAACATAATCAATAAATCAACATAAATCATGCATATATTAATACTAAAATAATTTATTTGTGTCCAATTTCACGGAAGCAGAATCAAAATTTTCCAGAAATTCAATCCTGGTATTGGTAAACCCCACACATAATGGGTTGATATGAACATCAAATTATTATTTTTTTTTTTTTAAGAAAAAGAGAGTTCTACAATCATAATTAAAGGGTTTGGATGGGGTTCGCAGTGTGTTTGGAGGTTTGTGGTGTATTTGCAAGTATTTTTTCATTAAAAAAATCAACATTTTAAACCAAAAAACAGGTTCTTATGAATATTTTAAGTTTTCTTTTTATTGATATACCAAGTGAGTCAATTACAATTGAATTGTTTGGTTTTCTACAGTGTGTTTTGGGAGGTTTGTGGGATAATTACCACAATTACTACCACAATTACCCTACCCTCACAATTACACGTCATTTTAATTCTTAGCATATATTGCCATATTTACATAACTATGTATATTAGTATCTCAGTTTACATTATTTAGTATAGTTTTAGGCACTTAAATTTAGTTGGCGGGGAGTAAAAACCAAGTATGCAATTAAATAAGTTGCTTAAATAAATGTATTCCTAATTATTCAGTTTACTTTAAAAACAATATTTGATTAACAAATACTTCTTTGAAGTAACTCTAAGCAGAACATTTATTGCTAAGTTTGTGAGAAAGTAAGCCTCTCCCTTTTCCAATACGGTACATGGACTTGTGATTCAAACACACAATTGATCCACATGCTTTAACTACTGTTTATTTGCATTGTTTATAACATTTAAAGTTATTCCATTTGATACTTAACAAAAGTGAATTTTGTGGTTGTCTATGAGTTGCATATTTGGTAGTTGAAGTACTGTATGTATGTCATTCCTCTACTTTGTTAGTGGAATAACGTTTTTAAAACTCATTTTTACTATCAAAAGTGTTATTCAATGGCCATTGTTTTCCGATCTATCAGTACATTATTTGCATCTGTTGTGTAACTGTATTTGTTAAAAAACAAATACATTTAGAGAAATTTTAAAAAAATCACATAAATTGATCTTATTTTCAAAGGAAAAAATAAAACTTATTTATGAATTTACGATTTTCACCTCTTTTTTTTTAATTTTATAATTGAGGGCCATTTTTTATTTATTGATTCAATTCTTGCTTATTACAGTAGATATTTGAAGATTTTTAAAAATATATCATTTCTATTACTTTTTCATTGGGGCCATTTTTACCTACTTGTCATTTTGGGGCCATTTTTACTGGGGCCATTTTTACTGGGGCCATTTTTACCGGGGCCATTTTTTCCGGGACCTTTTCTCCTGGGCCATCTTTACCTGGGCCATTTTTACCTACATTCACTTAAAATGGTCGCTCTATAATCTTAGTCTGGCCAATGTAGGCCTACCACCCTAAATGAGAGGGGTGGTTTGGGATCACCAAGGAAAGTTAAAAATGTTACAGGCCTATTAATAACTTTGTATTTTTTTTTAAAACAATACTAAATAACGGATAGGGCCTACTCGTTTAAATTACATCGACATACGGGCCTGACCTCCATTTACGCCCTGGTCAGTGGTCAAGCAGGCCTATTATTTCTAGTGTCTAGACAATTATTACCTCACCACACGCACTTGACCTTGTTCCTTGTTGCTATAATAACCATTCGGATGTACACTCTAGCCACCTGGGTTGGTTACCGTCTCTATTTATTCATTCATACTATTTGACATGTAAAGAGCCGGGTGTCCCGTTATCACACAGGTAACAACATGTACGGTATGTAATCCAAGTGTACAAGATATGGGTCAATCCCCCTGTTAACAGGATGTCTACCGCGAGCAGGACAATATCATGACATAAGAACTCACAAGTACAATCGACTTTGTGTTAGATATTAGCAGGATATAATATTAGTGACGTTACCCCCGCGTTAAATCCTAATCAACTAGCTGCTGCTTCGCCTCAGGTGCAAACATAAGACGAGGATTACAACAGCTGTTAACTTACACAAGAACATAAATGAAGATCACTACAATATACCTCCATAGTTTTAAGACTAATGATAAACTTCGGGTTAAATAATGTGTACGATAATAATGTTATTCTTATATAAGTATTTTACTGTTAAAAACACATGAAGTGATTCAAGTTTATCTTTGTTATAATCATCATCATCATCATCTTTGGTATCGTCGACACATAATCATCACCATCATTATCGTCATTATGATCATCGCCATCATCAACGTTATTATATCCTCAAAGCATTATCATCATCATCATCATCATCATCATCATCATCATCATCATCATCATCATCATCATCATCTTCATTATTTTGTTCTTAATTATCATCATCATTTAAAAAATAATGCTTTTATCATTGAAGCTTAGGGACTGGAGTTGTTTTAGTCGTGAGAAATTTCCTGCTGTGACAGGAATTGAACCCATGACCCTGAAATTAGAAGGCAAGCAGCTTAACCACTAAACTATTAAACTTCACTCCATTATCATTATCACATCATCCTCACCATCATCATTATCACCATCATCGTCATTATCATCAGTATAGACATCATAACTATACTTCTATTCCCCAAAAGTATAGGTGTATGCAAGGGGGAGGGGTCTTGAAGGTCGTACGACCCCACAAAAATTTAAAAAGGTCCATATTTATTCTAAAGACATTTTTTTCTAGGGCCTTTTCACAATGACATAAATTAAAAGCATTGATGAGATACCAGCAATGAGTCCAAAGACCTTGCCAATTGCGTGACGTAATCTATCTCAATTCCAAGGAATGAACGTCCTCATTCTGTGTCAATTCGGCAGCAATTTCTATCTTTTTTAATTGATTGACATTTTAATCACATCTTGCTGTTATTTCATTGTGAAAAGGTCCAATAAATTATGATCACGACCAACTCAGAAAAAATCCTGGGTACTCCCCTGTCGAAGATAATGATGTTGAAAACCAAGATAACAATGATCTTTTTGTTTTCTAATGCGGGCTGAACCTTTTAGAATTTCTAATTTGTGATTATCGTGAAAATCGTGATAATCGTATTGAGAGGATTGGTACATTACCATCCCTGTCTCGGAGACATCTCCCATGCTATAAATATACATACTGACGTTCACTAATACTTCATCATCTGAAAGAAAGAATATTAAAAACATATATTTTGATTACAGTTCTCAATTCGTTAATATATTCTGAGGGGTATAATAATAATAGTAATAATAATAGTAATTAAGAAGAAATATTAATTTTTGTTTAACCAATGTAAAGTAACAAATATTAACTTCCTACGCTTCGATCACTACCAGTGATCCTTGTCAAGTGACGATGTTGTTCGAAATGTAGAAAGGTAATTTTGATATTTTACATAATAATAATAATAATTATTATAATTATAATAATAATAATGGTGTCGAGGATGATGATGATGATGACAATGATGACGACGATGATGATTCACTACCGTACATTAATAACATCAGCAACAGATATAGGGACGGAATACGCGTGAGCTTTTAAGCCTATGGTTATAAAAATAAATAAATAGATCGACTTGTACAGTAGTACAATTTAGACTCGTGTACACAAACGTAAGCAACGCACTACACCACCTTAGTTTCATACGAAAGAAACTGGGAAGCGTTACCGTAACGTCATTGTGTACCGTGTGAACCAATTCGTGCGTTTGCGCGCCACCTTACTCTTCTCTCAACCGAGCCTTGAAATATGTTAGGCCGTGGCTACGTATAAACGTTCAAGCTCAAAATGTGTAGCAAAATCTCTCTGGTGTCAGGATTACAACTAGCAAGAACGAGTATTGTACTTCTTGAGTACGTGTGTGCCTACGGCCAACAGATACGATATACGTTGTTAGCTCGCTAATGATCAATAGCGAACACTGCTTTAATATTAACATGGTATCGGAAATCTGAATCAGGCCAAATACATTTATGTGAGATGTGAGTAGGAGATCATCGTCTGCACGCTACCAATACACGACCTATGATGCTCAATTACTCGGACGGTTAGGATCAGTAATTATCGAAAACCCATCAGATAGGCTATTTCATTTCTATGTACGGGAGCTGTTATGTTGATTAATAGTACATTTCTATATTATCATAATGTCACAATGAAGTTCATGACACATGTAGTGTGTAACTATTATATCCCTTGACCATGACCGATGTAGCAATAAACCACTCCGCCTTTCTGGAACGCAAACAAGCAACAAATTCATATGATCAAAGGCGGCAAAAGCAATGTTCTCATACATTCTCTTACAAACCTTAGTGTCAAAAATTACTCCTAATAACAAACTGAAGAATGATCTCTGGTAATAGAGAATATGTTACTCTAAGCTATTCATATTTTACTGGCTTATTAATAGTTAATATTAAAGTAACACTTTTTAATATCTAACATGGCTTTATACAAAAATACAATATCGTTGGTCCCGTGTGCAAAATGGCCCGAGTGCACTAAAGAACGTTGTACTCTCTTCGGAAAAAGGTAGGAGATTGTCTACCGGTGTACTGCCATTCACCACTAGATCGACACCAAGGGAAACAAATCTTTGGACTTTGTGGGTTGTCCTTGTTGTGATTTACACCAAAAATACTCCTGCGATCTTTTGCACATTTTCTTGAATATAAATGACTCTGTTTATCCGTGAAGGATGTGGTAATACTGTTGAACGTACAGTATTTTGATATGCATTACACATATTGCTTTTTAAATACATTTTGACAGATATTTAAAATAGTGTGTATGGCGTAAATCTCCCTGAGGCTTCCCTGATTGGCTATCGCAGATCACTGTACTTCACCAATCTTGATTCAGATAAATGTTATATTTTTATATCACATTTGAGGCGATGATAATGATGATGATGATAATAATGATGATGATCCAAATTTAATAATTTTTGTGAAACGACCGATTTCTCCTAAATATGATAGTTCTGTCGCATCTTAAACATTTGGACAGTTTCATATACTTTATGTATTCTTCTATACGTTAAATGGAGAAATCTAATACCGGATGTCAGTTAAAAATATAATACATTACCAAGGCTACTCCCGAGAAACATATCATTTACGATGATTATAAACTTCAGTGACACAATAAGGAAGAATAATTTATAGTATGAGATTACATTGTAAAAAATGAAGGTCGGTGACAAAAACAAATATACAGCCTATTTTAGTTAAAAACGTGAATCAAGGTTATATTATGGTGTTGATCTACAGTATAGAAATATATAGAGAGTTAAATAGACGGTGGGCATTCCTAAAGTACACATATTACGTAACCATTATACTCTATTGTATGGGAATCCAGTCACCCTCTATATCAGGGAAAATACGCGAATGTGATAATGGCGCCCAAAATTTAACATTCAAATGTGCGTTTCGATGTTCTTATAATAATTCTAAGGCCGAGTATTTGACAGGTTGGCTAATGGCAAGCGCCGCCTCTTAATGGCATGGTGATTTAGTATAACGCGCACTATAAGTTATTTTAAAACTCCATGTACCATGTAGGCCTATCTGGACTGCGCATACAAATCGTTTTGCCGCTGCATAGGCCTATACATGGACAGCACCATTAAGCTTGGGTTTACATTAGTGAAGTTTATACGCGATGACGTAACAAGCAACGCTTGTTTAAATTGTCTAGTGTGAACCAAACCTCGCCTTACTTCTGCTGCAATAAGTATACAATAACCATCATACGTTTTTGACGTTGTTGTGCCTATAAATATTTTCTGCAGTCCTAACTAAGCTTTGAATGCTAAATTGTGTTCCTTTTATTCCCTAATCATTATTATTATTTGTATTTTACTTTCAAGGAGCAGAAAATATATAAATTGCCCTTAAGGCAATTTAATTAATAATAAAAATATAATACAGTAAATGGAAAACTGAGAGTTACGATTTATGATTTTCTTGTTGTGAAGTCATTTCAGAACATGTAAAATATTACATAGATTTATTTTGTATGTGAATTTATATAAACGATGTTAACACTTGGGACCGGGAAACCCACCTGTCCTCAATGTCGGATTTGCTCATTTCGTGTGATCAATTAAGCGTACAATTTGATTTACTACAGGTGTTAGTACATATCAAGCTTCATAAATAAGTTTATGAATATAAATATTTGACATACTTTTTCATTCTCACAAAAAATAAGTCTGCCTTGAACAGAAACTTAAATCTACTACGTTCGCACGCTCAAAGTTTAGTGATCACTCGAGAAGATCTATTTTTTATTATTTACTTTATATAAGACACATACTGTAATGACTCGAGGCTATGCGTTGTTTTTTGTGTGACAGAAAGTTTGAAAACACTAATTGTACATATTCCGTATTGAAGAATGATTTAGGATTATATTTCGACGATGTACAGTACAGTATTGTCATATTATTTCCACAGTAAATTGCATTGCAGCCAAAGCCTGAAGCAGTTATTTATGGCTCTAAATAAACTGAAGTATCAAATATATTTCTTTTGTTATCAAATTGTTGTTGTTGTAAGTGTGTATTCGCCTACTGTATCTTATTGAAAATAGACAAAAAGTTTAAACATTTTTTGTTGTTTTTGAATTGTCATAATTGTTGTATGACACAATAATGTTAAATTATGCGGCTTGGGTATAGGTAATTAATATGTCTTGATGTAATAAAAAGGGGAAAATAAAAAAAAAAAAAACATTCACTGTGAAAGATCCACACATTCTTGTCCCGCTTTCGGTGACGCGTTGAAAGCTAAACGCGTAAGATCCTAAACACATGTGATTGTCTACAGACGTTTAGGTTGTACACGTGTCACCGAAAGGGAGGGACAAGACACATGTTTTTTTTTATACGATCCATGCTGTTTTTACAGTGTACTGTTTATATAATATTAACCTACGACCTAGGATTAGGAGGCACACAACACCAGTACTTTATTCTCTTGCCAACTAATCCACAATATTTGTCTGTTTTGTGTTATGCTTTTGTGATATGGATTTGTCATAGTAACGTAACGAGTAATTTATCAATTTGATCCCGTGCGTTAAATAGGCCCATTAAATATTTTTCCATTTAATTCCTAAACGTGATCTTCTGATTCAATAATTTAGCTTGTCTTTCTTAAGGTTATGTGTATATTGTAGACACTTGTTTTATTTATTTTTTTTTAGATCAGTGGCAGGCTGATTTTCTTTTATAGTGGTTAATTCGAAACAGATGCGGTTATAGGGAACAACTTTCACGTACAGGTAGGGGAAAATACCACCTCAGCGCCAATATTGTTGGGAGTGTGGCAAGAAAATTTATGATTATGGCACCTCTAGACGGTCGGAAATGTCACTCTCACACTAAAATTTGAATTTAAATTCCTTTTCTTCTCTTTTCTTTCTTTTGAAATTTTGAAAAAAAAAAAAAAAAAATCTGCACTCTAGATTCTCCTACTAAGCCACTAGAAATTTTCCTACTACAAAAATATCCACTCACCAGTGGTTGGGGCTGGGGTGAACACATTTTTAACATAGATACCTATACATTTTCTGAAAATTGCACTTTCAGACTCAAAAATAAGTTATGAAAGCAGTGTTTTTAGCAGAATGCATTTTAAATCAATTGTTTTATTTCTTTTTTGACTTTAAGCGCCTTGGGACTATTTACTGATTGTGTAAGGCGCTATACAAATACAACTACATTAAATTAAATTACAGTAGCATGCCTCGAGCCTGCTGGTGCCGCAAATGGTTAGACATCGCATCATAGAGTGTCCCACTTAATCCATTGTACCCCATTAATCTACCCCCTCCCCACGCTACACGCAGAAAAAGCCACGCTCTTGTAAACTTTGCTAGAGGGGTGTCTATGTGGTGTTGCTCTAAACAGAAAAACATTTTTTTCTAAAAATCGGCCGGAAAATGATTTATTTCAGTAACGTTTCGCGGGCCAGATCAAAATCTTTGGCGGGCCGGATTTGGCCCGCGGGCCTGGGGTTGAATATCGAGGTTTATAAGATATAGATAAGAACTGAAATTACATTAAAAGCTCATACTACATTATAAAAACTTTAATCTTAGGCCTATGTAAAATCAACACTAAAAATATCATGAAAAAGTCAAGTATTAGGACTACATCTTAAATTAGTCAAGTATAAAAAAAACAAAAACTCAAGCATTACATCAAATATAAGCTATAAGGACAATCAACATTTGGTCAAACACAATAACTTGCCGTATCACAGTACGACAGAAATAGTAGTAGGAAAGAACTCCAAGATGAAGACCGTGTAACTCATAACAATGACATTTATTTTATATCCATATGATACTGTATATATATATATATATATATACATATATATATATATATAATAATATCATATGCATATATATGTGTGTACGGTGTGTGTGTTGGGGGTATGTGAGTGTGATACATGTTTGAAGTGTAAGTTTATCACCCTCATTTGTGGATATGTGATTTACAAGTTTGTTATTACAATTTTAGAGTTTATTTATTTGAAACAAGAACACAGAATAGGGCATAGGCATACTTATTGTTTTTTGATCAATAAAAAGAGCTTTGAATGGCATGAACTATTACATGCATTCATTAATAGTTTCTCTTCAAAATCATACATGACCGTTTATTATACTAAGGATTGAAATAAACAGTCTTTGGCTTTGAAGGCGCAGAAAATGTATATTTATGTTTCAAAAATGCTTAAGTTTGATCATAAATAATAACAAAATCGATAGAAATATCGCACGGCCTTTTGAACCTGCAGTCCTATCTTGGAACTATGGCGTTTTTTTACTCTAAGAAACAGAAATAATTTATCTCGGTGTTGTTCATAAACTACAGTATCATAATATGGTGTTCTATAAGTATGGCTCGTTGAGTAAGTTTGGATGCAATGGCAAATTGATAATCATTTTGGGCCTATCGATTGGTTGAGCCGTAGAGGAAATTAGGGGTTTGAGACCCCCGTTTTCATTTTATGTTCCTAGATAGAACCAAATCAGGTGCACAAGTTGTTGGTGTGTATTCCATGCCATTGTATCATTCGGAAGCGTATGTTTCGCATTATAGATCTAGATGTGATGTTAATTGCAAGGCTTGAAAACCAAACATAAGAACAGATAAGACAGCATCTATTTAAAATACGGTATATAAATTGGCAGATACTGTAATAATTATGGAGAAATTTATACCGCGCTATTTTTTTAGATATAAGAAACGATGCAATTGAAAAAAGTCCATACGAGCAAAATAATTGACACTCCATGGTGCAATTATTTCGTACATCACAGCTAACATGTATACTAGGAGTACGGAAAATGACCCGAAAATATAAATACAACATGAAATTTAATATACCAATGATAATTTAAAAGAAATGAGAGCTGGCTATATTCTTAAAATATTCATGTTGTTCATTTAGATATGGCTATCACAATGTTTCAAATTTAACTAGAACTGGCAGTGTGAATAGATAACGTATGCATGTTTCAACGCACAGAAACGTGGAAACAGGACAGTGGAGATAATAAATATTACGGTTTACAATTGCAGTATTCTAAATGAATCTAAATTCAAATGCAATCATTAACTCCAATACTGTTGTTTCACCAATGCAAACATATAAAATTTTTATGTGTGAAAGTATATAATTAATTTCAGTTGCGCTACCCAAAAGGATAAACGACCGACCTATTTTAGAATGTGAAATTTAAATTTGAATTCTACTCATTTGTCTTAACCAGAGTGAACTTGGCCGCCCTGGAAGATATTCAACACTTTGGATACCTTACTGCCGTTTATGATATTCGGCCTGGAGAACAACCTGTCAACCATTGGTGGTCGTTCCCTGGTACAGCGGTGTTCAGTCCTACCCCAGCTTGTTGTCGCGTTTGTTCATGAGTTTTCTTGCTTAACATGTTTTAGGTTTATTGGAATTTGGCATGCTCCATTCACACATAGCCTTCTGCATAGATATATCGTTTCACTATAATATCTATTACAACACATCCATCTCAAACATATGCTTCAGTTACGTTGAGGGGGAAAAAGGAAAACAACAATCGGAATAAACCTTGGTCTTTCTAATGAAAACATAATCACATTGATTAAACCATAAACCATTAAACTAACTACGTAAAGCAACAGGGGAATTTAGACAGAGGAACAAAAGCCGCACAACTCAGATCGCCAGAGGGTCCCAGATTGAGCGCTCACAGGCACATTACTCACAATCTCTCTAATGATAGGCCTACAGGTACAGCATTTAAGTGCTTTCAACTACAAACAACACTTGCAGTCGAGACTGTATATAATGGGGGTAATGTCGATTTACTACTTATACTTACTAATATTTACACCAACAACAACTGTAACAACAACAAAAGGCACTGTACCATGGAGTAAGACCTATTTTTATACTACTAGAAATACTAGTAATTACTCAAATATTAATAATGCTATTGTCATTATTATTAGGCCTATATTATTATTATTATTATTATTATTATTATTATTATTATTGTTAATAATATTATTATTTTAATGATGGTACAAACAAAATGATATATAAACACGATTTTGGACCCCATTGGAAATAAATTCTTTCTTTTCGAATTTATATTGGTTTCATATGTTTTAATGTTCAATGCTTTTGTAATTTTATATGTATTGTTATTCTGTATCATACTAAGAACCGAATAAAATAAATCAAATCACTTAATAATTATAACAAAAATAACTATCGTTACAAACTATCATTAACAATAAAATAGCACAAGTATATTCTATATTCTACTATATGACGATACTAATTAACGCTTTCGCAAAAAAATATTTTACTTTAATAATAAGCCATACAATAGGTCTCTTAAAAAGGCAACTAGCTGAAATTTCCACTACGAACAATAAACATAGATTCGATTCATCTACAATGTGTTGTTATGAGATTTTATTTCAATGCAGTTCCTAGCAGTAAGCAATATACTTTGCATTGATTTCTTCAATGGTTGATATGTTCTTTGTAAACTATAAGGCCATAATAGTTCCGAACAATGCCGATCCTAACTCGTGCAATCAATAAGAATACAATATTCTGTACATTACCTCCGTAGTTTGGTCGCAAGCCTTGGTCATATTCATCCAACAAGGAGCTGAGTATCATCGATACATTTAACATCAGGAAGGTTTCGCCACCCCTATCAAAACAAAATCATATGTCGGTTAGAATTAAGAAGTCCATCGCGAAAAAGCACTTGTAATTTAGTTCTTATCGTTAAAACGCTAAGCGTCGACGTTTCAAATACGGCGTTAGAAAATATCTGAGACACCGCAATCGGAACAGGTGAGTACGATAAAAAAAAATGAGCCCAGTCTCAATGCTACTTACATCCTGACAACAGTGATAATTTGTCAATCAAGAGGATGCTTGGCTGCACGAAAGAAACCTATTATTCCTTGAGCAAACTCGTATGATCATGGGAGATCTTCTCTGTACGTTAACAACACTGCGCGAACCCTGTTAGCGTGTGGTGGCGCTATGGATACACAACCTCCTTGTCAATCACCCTAAACAGGCCACCCTGCTCCCCTACTCGGGGTTGTATTTTCATTTAATCTACTATATTATGACAAGATATATACAACTTTCTTGGTTCTTTTATAACTTCTCTTGGTGGAAAAATATCAGCATTGTGACCCAAACACGTATTAGATATAATAGCTAAGGAGTCTCGTTAACACTCTTTTAAATCAACCCGACTAAACGGTGACTATAAAGCATTTGTGACGTAGGCGTCGATATTGCCCGGGTGATTCATCTCTCTTGTTAATATTAATTTGCTTACAATCAAAATCAACCATAGAATAATAGTTTTACTACGATCATTCCATTTCTGTGATATGCTTGACCTACGGAATATTTTTTGTTATCTCATTCACGAACTGTATTGTTCAATCAATCTGACCGATCGCTGCTATTCATGTTGGAAACATCGACAGCAAACCAATTACCGTCATTATGACATTATCTAACCGCTGGGTAAATGCGACTTGCTCAGGAAGTCAAGTGTCTCAGCCTAGTATATAAAACTAATGATTATGATTAGGCCCACAAGTTAAACGGCGATTCTTCTACATATTGTTTTTATTAGTAATTGAGCACATTATAGACACAGAACAGACCCCAATTCAATCAACATACATCACTACTACACTACACAATAATAGTTTCCTGCGATTCAATTTAGTACTGTAAGTAAGATAATCATTACCTGAGTTCTTTCGATGGAGGTGGCCGAGTTTTGTTCTTGGAGGACGAAGCAAGGCACGGTATGCCTATCCCAGAAAGCGTTATGATCAACACAATTACGGCGAGCTTCATTGTATACGTGCTTCGTCTGCTAGCGCAAAAGCTGGACTGTTGTGAAGAAATCTACGTAGTAGAACCGTAATCCCACACTTGGAATATATATTCAGATCAATATCCATGCACGGGAAACGACACCGCCTGTCACAGCAACCCTGGGTTTAATATCTCCGTACGGGACTATTGTCGTGGCTAAAGCAACTCAGCAAGCTGGGCTATGTCGTACACAGAACTGAAGCCACGCTCGTAAAGAACGTTGTATATATGGACAAGAAGCAATGTTTCTCATTATGAAGTTAAATTGACGAAATCGACGAGTGTTACAAGAAGAGACCTAGAAAAAAGATCCCTCGGTTATAATAAGTTCCAGCTCCAGGAAAAATGCGATATGTAACACAGACGGGCTGACGGCAAAGGTTAACTATACTGATGAACATGTTAATAAATAGGTACATCTTGACGATAGGATACCAATAACTATAACAATATAACCGGTAATTAATCAATCGGTTTATTTTTAATGTGCATTCCTTTAAGTTAAGGATTAGTTATTAAATAATGAAGTAGGCTGTGGTGGCGATATTTCAACAAGTTTGTTCTGTCAACCGATTTGTTAATTGCTAACCAAGTGAAACATTATAGAATCAGTAGGACATTCAAGAATATCACACTGATGGGTCTCAAATTACAACCAATGGGGAAAAGACTGTTAATAACTAAAATAGGTGGAAAATAGTATTAAAAAAAATGGGAGATTTGTATTAATTACTAACATACGCGTGCATAATTCATAGTTGAATTTACGATTAAAGTATGGAACTCATAAACTTGTTGAATCTACGTAAGTTTTATTATCCTGCCATGTACATCCATCAATCATATAATATTTTACCGACCAAGCAATAACTTGGTGAACATTTTTACCCTGAAAAGCAATATCCGTTCCTTATTACACATCGCCATGTTGTTGACAGTGACATTTATATTGACAATAATTACAGTTGCAAGAGTAGAACTGCATAGTAATTGCAATACCTACCATTATAACCAAGATGATTTTTTAATAGTGTTCATATCGAAATAGTAGAATTGATGTCATATTTGCTACTAAATACTTTTCTGCCATACCAGAAAGACAATGAATCGGAAAATAAGATGATTTAAACAAATGAATAAGTGTGATTATATATCGGTATGTTCGCAACTGTGATTTTTTGATAAACTCATAAACTCGTATATACAACATGATAATATTAGGACTAAGGCCATATTAGGTTGATTCACAATACGTACGGTATACCTAGCTTCAGACACACAAAATAATGTATAGGCCTATAATATATACCGGTATAGGCTTATACATTTTTTAAATATATATTATATTATATTATATTATATTATATTATATTATATTATATTATATTATATTATATTATATTATATTATATTATATTATATTATATTATATTATATTATATTATATTATATTATATTATATTATAT